ACGCTTGTTTCTGAATGTGGAGGGAAAAACCGGAGGACCCGGAGATAAATTAACGCGACCACGGGGAGTAACATGTAAAGACCAAAAATACAGGTGTCAGGGTCGGGCTCGAACCTATGACCTTCTGTATATCAGGCGAGGTAGTTGACATTTCGCCCCCCACTCCCCATAACACGAGTGGGGTTGTAAAGTTAATATTTGGTAGAATGTCAAATAGAGATCTACTCTGCTTATAAGCTGCGTATATTTCCTCAATGGGTGGGTGGACACACATGCGTGCTTCGCTTGTGAATTTTAAGAATTACTGAATAGGTGCTTGCACCCATCCTCGCTTGAGTTGATGTGTGGAAACATGATTTGTTGAATGTCACAGGTCAGACGAGTGCGTGTAAGCTTTTCAAGTCGGATGTAATTGCAATTACATTTTCTCTTAATGCCTTGCGTCTTGACACATCTTGAGGCACATTGATATTTGTGCTAGATTCTACCAAATCCCACCAGTCGTTGTGAACTCATGAAACTACTGTTCCAATATTTGATGCAAGGGCTGACTGTTACGTGAAAATGTTTTCACGAACTTTGGTGTATTCTCTTGCAAATGACAAGTTCATACAAATTTGTATTTCTGAATGCGTACTGGTGTAAACCAGTTTGATAGAGACGAGATTCAAATGTTGACAAAATAGCCTAAGCATATCTTGGCCATGTGCTCATTATTGTTAGTTGACACATGAATGTTTTGGTCAAAATGTTACAACAACAAAAACATTGGCTAGCATGTAAATTGGTCCCTATAAATGCGTACAAAATATTACGTATTTATATAGTGAATTACCCCAGAAGGTCAATTGAAATGTATAAACCTACTGAATTTGTAAAAAACATAAAAGTGCCATGTGTGTTATTAACACTCTTGCAAAAGCAAATTAACAAAAGTCTAACGTTTTGGGCAATGGCCTATTTAAAGAACACCATTTGTTCAAATTTGTATCAAATACTATATCTCATGAACAAATGTATATATATATTTTGTTATTATACGTAGTTATTGAACGTGTTGAGTTAACTAACCATCGTGTGATGCCTTTTATGACAATTCTAAAATACGTTGATAAAATTATATTCGTTGTTCAGCAAAATTGTCTCATGTTTTTGGGACTGCTCAGTGAAAACCTAAGACTAGTCAAAATGTTAATATCCAAAATAATCAATGTTATACAAGCGTTGTCATTTGTAGTTGATGCAATAAAAAAACGTACAGCATCTGAAATTGCAGTCTAACATGGTGTGTGCATAGCACAGGATAATTTGCTGCACCTTGATATGATTAATGTTTGATGTGTTTCGTACCGTTTGCTTGTGCCGCACTGGATGAGCAAACAGCTACGTTCACATCATTTTTAAACACCAAATTAATTGTCATATTTAATTTTTTCGGGTCTCCAAACTTCTGACTGATGCAAACAAAGGACTTAGCATAGAGCTGTTTGCTGCAAGGTAGACAAGTGTTAAATGTTTTATAACTTTCAAAAGAAATAATATGACCGCAACCACAAAAAATGTTCCATGATGTTAAGTATAACTTTAGGCAGGAGTGTTTCTGGCCAAGTACATGCGTCATGTTTGGCTATATATTAATTGTAATATTGATGAATAATGTATAACCTTTTGTCAATCAATTGCTTGAGAAAAGCGTTGCTATACCCTGGCATGGTGTCGAGATGTTAACTACCTCGCCTGGTATGAAGGAGGTTGTGGGTCCGATCCCGACCTTGATGCCTGTATATTTGGAGTTTGCGTGTGTCTCTCCCCATTTTCGTGTGGATTTTTCTCCAGGTCCTCCAGTTTTCCTCTCCACATTTAGATTCAACATCATGCGTCTTAGAGTATTTGGCTACTATAAATTTACACATGTTAAGCCACTTTATTGGGCTATCATTTATGACCAGATCGCTTCTGAAAAAGAGCTATACAGCTCAATAGGCATTACCTGGTAAAATAAAAAGTTGTTTTATCATAACCTACCACAATTGCAGATGGTTGGTTCATATATCACTTGGCCATGATGTTAGGAATTGAACTTGGGTAACTGGCTTCATTGTGCAGTGTCCTACCAACTGAACCACCACTCTCATGTACATATTCATTTAAAACTACAACATATGCAGACCCCAACATGGTTCACAGTGTGCACAGGTGACGTTCTGATTTTGTGATGGTCACAGCACGTGAACTGGCTCCAACCACATCGTAAAACCAGTTAGCTTGCAACTTTATCTTGGCAATTACTGCCAGGCATGTGCTGCAGTTTATGATGGAGAAGCTAATCTCTTTGCTACCATTATTGGCATGAAATGTATGTCTGCATACAGTAGCAGCATTGTTAACATTCAATGAGCAGGATGTACTTTGCTTTCAACAGTTATCTCAGCATGTGTATATAGTAATCTAAATAGTTGTAGAAACATTTTTTTATTGAAACAGTTGTATTTTATGATTGACAAAAATCTTTATGTTTGTTATAACATGTCAGTGCAATGTCTGGTAGATTAAAGTAGTGTGCAAGGTCGAAGCAAACGAGTGATTGAGTAAGGCTGCAGTGCCCTTCATCATGCACAAATTTCCTGTTTCCTTGATATGATCGTGAGTCATGTGTTGTCACTCAACCTAATGGAGGCAGAGCCAGCGAGTCTGCAGAGCCAGCGAGTCTGCAGAGCCAGCGAGTCTGCAGAGCCAGCGAGTCTGCAGAGCCAGCGAGTCTGCAGAGCCAGCGAGTCTGCAGAGCCAGCGAGTCTGCAGAGCCAGCGAGTCTGCAGGGCTCGCGCGTGTCATTGTCAGTCTTTTTTAACCATCCATTTCAAGTCTCCGTATGCTGATAATGCCACCCGGTAACCTGTGCTTGCAATGTATCTCACTTTCCCACCTGTTCCCCTCTGTGATAATCATTGCCTTCTTGGCTTTCCACTGAGTGGACTTTCCGGAATATGGCCAGATATGTTGATCCCTTTGAATCGCCGCTCGTAATGTCTTTTGGCCAAATTAAGTGTGTGGTTGATACCCCAGCCTCCAATGTGTACAGTGATAAGTCTATGGCACGAGATGAAGTGTCTGATATGTTAGCTTGTCGGTGAAATGTCTTTACCAAGAGCTAAACCAGAATGAATGCAGCCATTGCTTTTGTCATTTAACCTCTGGTCACATCGCTATGAATCTGCAATCATGCAATGTTGCAGTTAGTTATCAATTCCCTTTGGGCGGAAAGGTAGTGCAGTGGTAACACTCGTGCCCGACAGCACCTCCATTTAGCACGGTTGGCTGTGTAGGGGACGAAAGAAGTTCAAAATACAGCGAGAAGGGTTTTGATTGCCGACTCAGATGCTGCACTGTGGATTTTCTATATCCGAGTTCTCTGATTTCTTCCCATGGCCAAAAGAAACATACACCGTAACTGGTATTAGCCAAACATCCAAATGCTGAAACATTACCCACAAATTACTAATTCGGAATTATATTTTGGATTACAACGATGCCCCTCGGTATATATTAATCTGGCAGGGCCCTTCTGACAAAGTTTTGAGACTCACTGCAGCTCTCCTGGGTAAACAAACACACTTTTATATTTCCAAAGGAGCTTTTATCAATCTATATAAAAGCTGTCTTGTTTAAGCATTTTTATATTCGCCTATGTTCACGTGAACTTTTCAGGCCCCTTTATCCTCTTAAGATGCCCAGCACTGATGACTTATTTTAATGGCCTTAACACCCAGCAAGAAGACGCTGCCACTGCTGAATAATATTTACATTTTAACAGCGTGATTACATTAATACAATTTGGCCAGCAGACAGTCCATTGGGAGTTTTTTTTATTTGTTGTGACGCTATAAGATAATTTATAAAGACTCATCGCCTCATGGCCTCATCATTGCCCTTGTTTCACCACAACATTTGTTTGACCTAAAGCAAGCTTTAATTGCACGTGGGCTGTTACACATATATTAGCCACTGTGCGTCACTAATAAATAAACCCTCTATGCTATATTGAGCATGTAATTATTTTTAACGCACAAAACGATTGCTCAAGATTATAGTGCTGCTGACTAAAGAACCCTGCGAAACTTTCTGCCAAATCTATCTCGCAAGAACTAAAGACTTAAGTTTCTTCTATTCAGTCTTCCACTTTTAAATAAGGTGGGTTTTATCTTCTGAATGATTAAAGTCCTTATATATGAGCTTGTTCATGTACGCTTATACCGTATTTCAAATACAAATAAATGATAATCGCAATCTGTCAATATACTGTTGGATGGAGGCTTCCCCACGCCGTATCGGTCTTGGGGGTTGTTTGACCATACTTCACCATGCCGGTTGACGGACGTTGGTGAAAGGTGTGCTCATGACTGCTTAAGATGACACTAGCAATTGATGAGAAAATCTTTGTGGCTGAGAAAATGGAGCTCAGGTTTGCCAGGTTCATTGTATATTGGACTAACATCGTTTATGCTCCATCCCCCGTCTTTAACGGGTAATTTGAGATGCTTATAACTTGTGCAGGCACACAGTGTTCTGCAATGCATCAGTATAAATACAAAGACAAATAAGCATTGTAAATCGTGGAATTCTGAAATAAACCACTGAGCACGCTATTCTAATCCTGGAACAACGAGCAGATGCATGTGGGGCACACCCCTCTCACTGTAAAATATCTAATTTTAAGCTGCTATGATTGTAGCCTTGATTGCCATTTGTCCAGTAATTATTCTTATGCAGATATCCCCGCATCAACAATTGAATGGGCCATCTCGTATTCCCCACACTTTCCCCCTGGCAAAATAATCAAAAGATCCTGAATTCCCCATTTGTTGTTATATATAATCCTTGTAGTACACAATGGGAGAAATTTACTGATGGAATTGATTGTGTTTGTGTATTGCGTCTAATTAAACATAATATTACATTTCCCTCTCCCCCCCCTTATCGCTCGCCTTTTGTGGGGGTTGCAGACACAGGCCAGAAGAAGTCAGGCGAGCGAAAAGAAAGAAGAATGTCCTTCCAGAAGCCCAAAGGCACGATGGAGTACACGGTAATGAACACGTTGAATCAGATGTTAGATTCGACTTCCTCAAATTCCGCGGAAATGATAGAAGGGGGAAACAAACCAGGATGTAAACCATCGTCTGCGTGTTCAACTTTGACCCGCATATCGGGTTGCACACACAGACCCATTGTGGGTGATATGAAGACTTCCACTTGTCTTCAAATAAGCATGCAGTGTATTTTAGTTCATTGGACAATTGACTTCTGTGACATTTGGCATGCAGCACTATTCATGTACGCAAACTTTGGACCAGTTTATTCAACCTTTGAGACTCGTCATCAGAGTTGGGGCTGTAAGCAAATGCTTTTGGGTTGCCAGATGCTATTTGCAAGAGGACTTCATCATCACAATGCAGTCCTGTTCAGCATAAACAACAATGTTGGATGATAACGTTTTGTGCCGTTGTGGAAGATTATGGGTTATACAATAATACGGCTTCGTGTATAAATACAATAGTTGATTTAGTCCAACAGCCTATGGGCACTCCAAAACAACATTGTAAAAATATTTGACCAGAAAGCCTAATTATGTTACTAACCATACGCTTCACAACAGCACGTAATGAGGTGGTGTCGTTGTGATTCTCTGTATGACGCAGTAAGCGGTGCTGTTTTATATTGTTTTGCTATTGCCATTTTGGGTAATGGTGTTTTATTCTTGTTCTGTTTTCTACATCACTTTAATCATCTGTTGTTTGCACGCTATTGAACGTACTTCAACAAACGTTCCACCAAATGGAGAAAGTGGTCTGGTAAAAAACGTTGTCTGAAAATTATTTATTTTTTAAATTTTTTAGAAGAAAGATGCCTGCTAATTTGAAGCCTTTTTTTATATTTTTATAGCATTCATTACAAAAGTTATATATCAAGCCCATCTCAGGACGGGTCTTAAAGAGGTTTCCATTCTATTAGCTTTGTGTTTTACGCCGGTTTAATTGCCTCCCCTCTGCAGGCAGGTGCCCAGGATACGCTGAACAGCATTGCTCTCAAATTCGACACCACTCCTAATGAGCTGGTACAACTCAACAAACTTTTTTCACGCATGATAGTTCCAGGACAGGTAAGCAAATCTCGCAAATCCCCTCCACACTAAGCCTACGAATCATTCTGAAGAGCGCACAAAACATGTCATACACATTTGTCATTTTCTGTTCGACTCCATTTTAAGATGTAAATTTCCGGCCCGTGAATCGTGTTGTTTAACAATAGTTACCGATGCATATCATTGGAGAAAATATGTCGTTTAAGATGGTCTCTCGTTTAAATTCAAATTGTGTTGCAATTCTGCTCGGAAAAGCATGTCAGTGCCGCCAGCAAAATGCGAGTTGGGGCACGCATGTGTGAGCAGCCTCCACCTGCCGTTCTGTAGGGGGGAGGCATGCCCTAACATTTGTGAACGTTATTCATGATTCTCACCGATCTATATTTAATCAATAGCATAACGTTTTTCACCGACAGCATTTTTAATGAGTGACGGTAACCTTGAGACTTGTCTTGGCTGTAAGTAGTTGGCTAAATACGTGTATTTCTGAAAACAACAGTGAGTTTTTTTTTTCCCATTCGAACTCGTGTATGTGCCACACATGTGTTTGACATTGTAGGGATGTTTAAAAAACAATATCTTATTGATATTATCATCATGTTTTTAATAGTTTCACACCTGAAAATATTGTTTTGTTTACGGTTGTCAGCGGAGATGGTACCAGTAGCTTACAAAGACAATGATCCCCCGTATAGCCTTAACAGACTGTAGGGGCAAGTGTTAGCGAACACCTATGAAAGCCGGCATGATACACGAGGGAGTGGGTGACCAGCACCACTAGCTCACATGCACACACACTGCGTACATGTGTGTATGATTGTTTCTCTGTTCATCAGATGCTGTACACTCCAGACCCAGACTATATGTCCAGCGATGGGAGTTCCCCATCTGCGAGTCCTGTCAGCCCGCTGTCTCCTACGTCTTCAGAGGCCGAGTTTGAGAAACTGCAGGTATTAACATAGGGGTTGAAGAGGCCTGCGTTTGTTTCAAGTTATATTTACGCCGTGATCTACGCACGCAGTTAAGCCATTTGTGTACGCGCATTGCCATTGACATATCCCCGGCTTGCTCGAAGAACAGTGTTCACAAATAAGCCTCAAGTGAAACGCGATTGATTTTGCGAAAAAACACTCAATACGTCCGGCTTTTAACTTCGCCTGCTGTCGCGTCCGCAAGCGAATCCTCGCCGGCAGTTTGTGCGACACGCGCGCTCTCGCTCACTCTCGCACCGCTCTTGCGGCCGGGCCTTCGCCACACAGCTCTTGCGCTCGAAACCGACCGCCCCCGCCTGCCCTTTCCAGGACACGGAGCCAGCGACGCAGCGGCCGTCGGAGAGGCCCGCGCCCGCAACGTCATCGCCCAATCCTGCCCGGTCGGCTCGCGTTGTCTCGTCCACGTCGGAGGAGGAGGAAGCGCTGAGCGAGCGCTTCCTCAAGATCAACTGCAAGTACATCACCAACGGAAAGGTGATGCGCTGCCCGGACCGAAGCGTGCACGGTTTGCGTTTGGCGCGTGAAAATGATCGCTTCTCACGATCGTGATGCATGTGTGTGCGTGCACTCGTGTCACATGGGAAATCATCCACTTGGTCTCTGGCAATTGTGTTCAAGGTTTTGTAGCAGCTGTGACCGACACACGCTTGTTGTAGGTTCTGTATCTGTGAAAAGTGTGCTGCGAACCAATTGGCTGCATAGCTTCGGTGGACGATTAAAGCAGTCTGGGGGTTTGTTTGGAAATATCTCCCATGTCCTTAGTTGCCGCAGTGTTCCTGTAAGATAGAGACGTTGCTAATGAGTGCGGAGAGCGGTGGGCACTGGGTGGTTATGTGAAGGCGAGTGGGATACTGTTGAGTTTTTGCTTGTATGTATGTACGTTGAACTTATTTCGCACCGTACATAGCCAACCGTACTAATCGATGGTGCTTGATCGAATGGTGCTCACGAGGAATAAGAATTATGTGATTAGCGCGCAAGCTGTGTACAACAACAAAAAAATGCTAACGATGCAGTTATGGCTGCCGGCGGAAACAAACAACTCTAAAGAGAAATGATACGAGCGAGATGTGTTTTCAGCACAACCGCGCAAACCTTTGCAGTATTAATGCATATCAGACGGGGAAAAAAACCCAGACTAAAGCGAATGGCTTCTCGGATTTAAGAATTTAATCACGGACCTAAATCGTAATAAATGAATCTAATTACTCAGGGGGAGAGAGAGTTATGTTGCATACAGCGTGAGTTTGCTGGCGCATGCGTGTTTGCTCATGCCGAATTAAAGTAGGCATTTTTAGAAGGAGTCTCAAGCGCAGGGTAGCTTTTCAATGCTGTTTACTTCCATTTTTTGTGTATCAATGCTGTACGGTTTTGACATATTTGGTCAGCAACCACTTCCTTCCTTCCTGAGTAAACATGCCTTGAACTGGCACCTCGAAGTAAAAGTGTGGTATAGTTCATAAACGATGCTGACAAATTTGAACAGAAATCAGTCTTACGTGTAAATTCGGTGTTAATGGCTGAAACGGGTTTTGTAACCTCTGACTGTGGACATTTCTGTTTCTTGCAGGGAGTGGTGGGAGGGGTGCTTCTGGTCACACCAAACAACATCATGTTTGATCCTCACAAGCTTGACCCCCTGGTGGTAGCAAACGGCTGTGAGGAGTATGGAATTATTTGTCCAATGGATGAGGTGATATCTGCAGCCATGTACCACGATATCGTCAACACCAAGATAAAGGATGTCACTCCGATGTGCGTTAACATTTTCACTGTCTCCAGTTGGTTTTACCGTTCAGCAAAAATTAATGTTTGCGTGACACTCGTGCGGATGAGCGCATGCGGAACTCATGATGAGACACTCTTTGAGCCATCATTTGTGGCCAGGTCACTTCTCAAAAATAAGTTAATACCTCGGGTTTTTTAAAAAGTGATTTGTTTACATTTCCTATACTTGGCACTCTTATCATGTTTTTGTATTGTTTGTTGTGACGTTCTTACCTGTCCTTACTGGACATCTGTGAAAAAGAGCTTCATAGCTTATTGGATTCCTCCAGTATAAACACATTCCTGCAGAGGGAGCTGGTAGGAACGTTGGGTTGCTCGGTCAGTGGCCAGGGTCAACGGCGGCGTGGTGTATTCCGCAAATATGGCCGACTGTGAGGGCGGGTACAAGCCGGCGTGTGTAGGTTAAACGTTCAGTTTTATAAGGGCACCACGGGGTGACCAGCCCCTCCCCACCCAGCCCCACCCCTCCCACCCCACGCAGCCCATCCCCACCCTCCCCTCTCCACCCAGCCCCACCCCTCCCATTTTTGGATGCACGACGGACGAACGGACGGACACAATAATCTCCTGTGGGCTGGTGTAACCAGGAGGTTCCTACCAGTAATACATATTCTGATATAAATAAATATTACTGAACATCTGTGAAAAATAGCTTTAGAGCTTATCAGATTCTTCCAGTATACATACAAATTCTGATATAAATAAATATTATGAAAAATAAATATTCGGAGAACATGCTACTTTTCCTAAAAGCTCTGTAACGTGTGCAATATTTCTTAGTTGATGGTATGTTTTTACACGCTTTTTATTAACTCGCTCTGTTTGTTGTTGTTGTATCCTCAAATCTTGTAACTAAATTTTAACCCACTTACCAATGTGGTATCGACTGCAAACTTGGTATACTTATGTCATACTGATGACAATACTATATTCTACCATAAAAAATACAAATTATATATTTTTTAACATTCTTTTATATGTTATGTTTCGGCTTGGGTCTAATTGTCCGCTCAACTGACGTTGGCTGTAAATCACCACCGTCCCTTACGTTATGGCAAGCCTCGGGGCCACTTCCTGGAGTCGTGGAGTTCTGCCATTACTCGTACGGTACATTTTATTAAAGCGTGTTTTAAAAAAAAAGTTTTTAAAAATATTACGTATTACTCATTATCAACAGGCCTGAAGAGTGGATGAACTTGGCATTGGGGAAGAAGACGAGCAGCATCAGACCACACGGCGAGGAGCGGGAGTCCCGGCTCGTGGAGGCGGGCAACGACAGCGCAAGCACCGCACCAAAAAGCACCGAGGAGTCTCTCTCGGAAGAGGTGTTCACGGAATCGGAGTTGTCTCCCATTCGGGAGGAGGTCGCCTCTTCGGATGAACTCGAGCAGTCATCGAGGTCAGCCGAGGGCCTTGCCAACAACAGTGGTTCTGACAAGACGCTCACGGCTTCAGAGCCGCCGGAGCTGTGTGCGGGTTCTGCTCAGGACGAAGCTCGGACCACGGGCGACAGCGGTTTCGTCACCGGTCATTCGCAGGATGCCGGTGATGCATCTCTAGGGGGCCGTGATCTGAACAGCACCGAGAGCCAAGGCTCCTCCAGTGATACCACGACACAGACCACCTGCCACGAGGTCTCTATTGAAGCGGACGGAGACGGATCGAAGTCCTGCGATCATTTGGACGGCAGCGAGAAAGCCAAAGACGAGCGGGCGTCCGCTGAACCAGAGACGGGCGCCGAAGCCCCGGCAGAATCTGAACCAAACGCTTCAGTCGAAAAAGAGCCTGAGAAAGTTAACGAAGGTGCCAAGGGAGTTGTAGGGCAGACAGAAGAACTCGAGGAGCTAAGAAAGATGTGGAAGTCGCACACATTGCAGCATACGCGAGAGCAGAGAGATAACATACAGCATGCAGGCGAGTGTCTATCTGTTTATCTTTTGCAATAACCTAAGAAATACTAATTTATTTTTGAACACAACTCTGACTGTTTTTCCTAGAATATATTTGCCAACCTCTAACCCCTTTTGGAGCACTGAACTTTCTGCGGAGAGATGAGTGGAATGGTGCTTCGGCTGGAATGTTACTCTTAATGACTTAGATTTTTTTTTTATGGCGGTACATTGATGTATTAAAACCGCTAGCAATGTGACGTTTATGCATTTATTGCAGAGCAGCAACCCACTGTCATGAAATTTTCCTTCTGTTTTCCTGTCATCCCTGCAGATGTCTTCTCCAGTGAAAAACGGGTGAAGAAGGCAGTCATGTTCCTGTGCTTGAGAGTGGGCAAGCCCATGATGAAGACATTCGTTACGCATGCACAGGCCAGCATGCAGCAGTATGCCCAGAAGGATACTGAACCAGAATATTGGTTTGCCGTGCCACAGGAAAGGTAAGAGAAAAAAACACGTGTCTGTACACACTCGCTTCGCACAGCTGCCCTTTCAAACGCTTTTGAAATGCTGTTCTAAAATAACAGAATGTGCCTCTGGACTATTGACTGTCTCAGGTTTGGCAAATGGGGACGTTTTGGAGCGACATATGATTTTGCGTATTTGCTGTAAAGGTCGCCGATGTTATTTGGAATTTCCTGGGTGGTGTCTGCCGTGATGCCCAACGTTTTGCCCATGTGCTGAGGTTCTGATAGTATATCATGATTTCATCAATATTATTGTAACTTCTTCAGCAATTGAACTGAAGCGTAACAATGGACATATCCAACAACACGCCGTACAATGCGAAAACACATTTGAGAGTGGACTTCTATTTTTTTAAGTGTCTTGCGATATAGCATTGGGTTGACAGCAAAATCCCAGCGTGCATTCCATCAATTGTTGTCAACATGCCAATGAATCAACATATGTGTGAAATACATGATGCACAATTTACAAGCTCGTATAATAGATGGGTTGATGTAGAAGCATTTACTCTATCTGGCCTGCCAAGTCTGGGTTGTTTGTCCTTGTCTTAAAATATACATGGGTATAACCCATGTTCTAGAACTCTGGAATTATGCAAATTTGAACCACGAGTTGTCAAAAAAATGCTTCGCTTTGTGGTGAGCATAAGGGGCTTGCTCTAACTTTATAAAAACATGTTAATTTCCCTAATGTGAGTACCACACCCAAGGCACACTTGTGCTGTTAGATACAGTACAATTTTTCTGTCCACTAGACGGAGCTGGCGTATATCCAACACAAAATTATATTATTTTGACAGTTTTTGGAATTTGAAGGAGTCCTGCCCTTTCTTGGGATAGTGGTGCATTATATATGTAACACGATTGTGTTTCTAGGTAGTAAGTGTTATTTTCCAATTGCTTATGTCTCAAAAGTATAGAAAATGGCGATTATTCCCCACAAACTTTGCTTTTGTGACCAGGACTTTATGTGAAGGAATGACACAAATGCACACGTTTTCCCATTGAAAATAGGTACATTTCAAAATATCACTGTCCTGGTCACAAAAGCAAAGTTTGTGGGGCATAATATCCATTTTCTGTACTTTTGAGGCATACGCAATTAGAAAATAACACTTACTACCCAGGAACCAAAACATATATTTATTTTGTTACACAGCGTAATGTTGATTTAAAGCTTTCGTGACTGCAGGGATTCATATTCTTGATTCTTTCGGTAAAGTCACGTAGAAGGAAAAAAATCAAATAATAAAAATATAAAACAATGAACTTCTCACGACGTTTCGACTGCAACACAAGGAATCATCATCAGGTGTGAAAAACACAGCAAGAAATTTTTAATAAAACGCCACTTTTTTCAAATTTGTGTTGCAGTCGAAACGTCGTGAGAATTTTATTGTTTTATATTTTTATTGTTGTATTGTTTCCCTTCTACGTGACTTTACCGAAAGAACCAAGAATATACAGTATAATGTGTCGTCGCCCATTTTTTCGGTGCCATTTTTAGGCTTTGCTACCAAAATCCAATCGCACGTGAAAATTACATCTGACAAACCGGTAAAAAGAGATTTAGCCTTCGGTTGCCAGTGACACGGGGGTTGTCGCTGTACATAATAAGCAACTGTGATGTGGTGATGTTATCGTGTCTGAAAGTTTGTTGTTCTTCCATTTGATGGAAATAAATGCGGCGTTTGCATTTATTACGCGTACTGTACACGTTGCTCCCCCTGTGACGCGTAAGACTTCTTCGTGTCGGTATGTACGGCTCTTTAAAAAGTGACCGGCAGGAGGTGAATTCAAAAGTTAGGTTGAATTAGTTATTTCAAGTTAATTAATTTAGTTTGTTCATTTAAAAGTTATTTGCTTGACGGTCTCCATTGGGATGACGGCAGCCGTTTTCACTCGCATGACTTCACGGGCGAAACGATATTGCTGTAGTTTTCGAGAAATATTTCAACTTGGTGCAAAATTAAAGGGTTCAAATATTTCCACGTTGATTTTCATGCGCTAAACGGCACAGCAGCTTTGATTAACGCCACTGCTGATTTATATTACAGTGAGATTGCTGTATCGACAATTGCATACTTATTTTAAATTATAACTGTACGGTGATTGCCAATCCGAACTGCATCAATCGTTTATTTCAGGAGGTGAACAAAGGAAACGAAAAATAGCCAAATGGTATAAATGTCTCATGGGAAAATTACGTATTTTTTATTAATACTTTTACAAAATGTCCCTGCACACATATACACACGCATGGAACATGGACTTCGACATTTGCAACCGCACTGCTGTATACGTAGTATAAGGCAGAAGAAATGTTAGAAAGCCCAACCGGAATTCCGGTTTATATCCTATACTATGCCCTTCAAAGGTGGTATTTATAACACACAAGTCATTTTGCCGGTGGTGTTAAAACCACCATTGGTTATTTACTGTGACCGTGACCGCTAGGGACATACTTGGTACATGGCAAATTTAAACCAGATGGGTCCCGCCCTCTACTTGTTGACTTTGCGGACACCCACGTGATCGCTTGGCCATGTGGAGTGGTCTGCAGTGCTGGAAAGCCTCGGCGTTTGATATTTGCACACGCACGTTATGCAGTGCACATCGGTGCGTCCAGGCCTTGACGGGAACACTTGCAGAGAAAACTCCTGCTTCGAAGGTAACCCAAGGTTGTGCTTAAGCGTGCGAGTGTGGTCATTGGAGCAGTCTGGACTTGGTGAGAACTTGCCATCAGATGGCAAGTGTCTCACTGCAGACTGGTTGAGTATTTCTTTGTTGGGGAAACTGCTTCTTATTTTGGTGCCATTCATCAATTTTCTCGGTTCTTTCGGTAAAGTCACGTAGAAGGGAAATAATAGTCCTGTTCTTCACCGGAGGACGGCTGCTTGCGTTGTGGCCGAAACGTCGTGAGAATTATTTTATTGTTTTATTTTTATTATTTTATTTTCTCCCTTCTACGTGACTTTACCGAATGAACCAAGAAGATGAATCCCTGCAGTCACGAAAGCTTGAAATCGAAATTCATCAATTTGTTTATTCATTTTTTTTCTTTTGCACGGTAGTAGTTTTCCTTTGCTTGGTAGTGGCTGTATATGGGATTTGGTCCTCATTTATAATTAACGTACAGCGTTATGGGATGCTTTTTGCAAGAATGACGCTGCAGTATATAACTTGAAAGTATTATAACTATTGTGCAGTTCATGGATACGCTGTTTTTATTAATACCCCTGGCCCGTCCATAATGATATAAAACCTAAAGCAAGTACAAGAAAACTTAGCAAATATTTTGTCATCATTTATATGGTAGTTTTGTATCTTTGCTTAAAATCTTATATGGGTGGAGGGGGGGGGGTTAACCCAAATGCGTATGCTTGTGTATAGGGGTCTACTGACAATGTACGTACGCCTCTACAATACTCCGGCGGTGGACTACCTGTTTGCTTAAACACGTTAATATGATTAATCCTTGATCGTTTCCGCGTGGATTAAATATCGGCCGTTCTATAGGATTCGTGGGGGGGGGGGGTGTCAAGTGTACGTACGCATGCAGGTGGGGGGGGGGGTGTAAAAAGTACGCATGCGTACAGGGAGGGGGAGGGGTCAAATTGTGACAGATTTTTGCGTACGTGCTCAAAGGATAGCCCCTTAATTGTCCTACCTTTTATAGCTCGCAATGCAAAAGAGCAATAGAATAGACAGCCATGGCTGGTGACTTCCTACAATGATGTCATCTCAATGGATGCCAAGCCTTGGCATTCCCTAATCAAACTAATTCATGTTGGGCCAGCTATTTTACACAAAGTGTATTGTTCTCGGCTATCCATGGCCATTAAATGGAATGATTTATAGGCTGCATATATTGTGCAACAGTAGCACAGGATATCTGTGTATTAACCAACACATCCAGTGCATCTGAGGTCACAACACACACACACACTTAATGTGTCTTCTGTTACTCAGTGTTATATTTTTTTTATTGAACAAAGCCCTATTAGCCTTAATTTGAGTTTACCGTGTCTGATTTGAGCCTTAATATAACACTATGTTTTATATTGCCCTAGGCCTTAAGATCTTTGTCCATAAACTATATCTCATACAAAGGTTGTTAAATGTGTTATTACATTTGTCAGGTGAATTTAATTGCACGCAATATTTAATTTCATGCACAGAATTGTTTGATTGTAAACTAATTTTGGAGCCAAATAACTGCACTTTGTTCAACATATATCCAAATATAATTAACGTAACCATAAAATGTACCAGTAAATTTTCCAAATGTCATCATTTGCCTACAGAATCTGAATAGGAGGTTTTTAGATCTCTGTATGTCTGCCAGTGATACATATCTACACCGATTTTCAAGATTTACTCTGGCTAAAATGTTCGACGACGTAACGGATGACGACGAGCGTGAATGTTGTGGCGGTTGACATTACTCCTGGCCATGCGTACCTAATTGCATTTCTCTTTTGTGGATTCAAGCAGTAGAGGTTGTCTTGGGAAGGTGACAGGCATCTGAGTGGTCTCCATGAGTCTGACAGCCAATGGGAAGACCTACGACCAGATGGTGGGATACTTTTTGGGCAGATTTTTGTTTGAGGTCACAAGACTTGTGCAGTACCTGTGGGGTGGTCTGGCAGATGGTCGAAAGAGTTAATGAGGTGCGGTGGCATCAACAGCTTTGATCTTCACGGTGGTGAGATGTTAACTACTTCGCCTGGTATACAGGAGGTCGTGGGTTTGATCGCCGTGACAGTGTGGATTTTCCTCCGAGGCCTCCGGTTTTTCCCGCCATATCTTTAATTACTCTTAGGTTTTTTCGGTAAGTCACGTAGGTAAAAAATAAATTAAAATTTATAAAAGTAAAATAAAAAATCACGACGTGGAACCGTCAGGTGGAACCGTCACAGCACGATAGCTGTATCAATCGTGCTGTGACGGTTCCACCTGAAGACGGAAGCTTGTGTTGCCTCCGAAACGTCGTGATTTTTTATTTTACTTTTAATAATTTCATGTTTTACCTACGAAAGCTTCAAATCACTAATTAATATCTTTAATTAACACGCGTTTAGAGTATTTGGCTGCTATAAATTTCCACTTGACAAACATATTCGTTGAGCTATCATTTGTGGCCAGGTCGCTTCTGAAAAAGAGCTATATAGTTCGGTGGGCCTTACCTGGTGAAATCAAAAGAAAAATTGTTAAATAGATATTTGTGACGTGGCTGCTCCCGCTGTCCGTGTGTCTGCAGGGCGGATCACCTCTTCGCCTTCTTCGTGCAGTGGAGCCCCGAGGTGTACGGCATGGAGGGGAGCGAGCCCGGCAAAGAGCCCGGCTTCGTGGTGGTGGAGAAGAGTGAGGAGTCCGACATGATCGACGACGTCTATGACGAGGCCTCTGGGAAGGAATGGGAGGTAAGTTCCATAGCCCAGCAGCCTACCCGTAAATACTAACCCACCGGTCTAATTTTCAGAGAAACGTTCGTACAGTGAATTTTAGTATTTATAACAGCACTTGAACGACGAATAGTTTTACCTGTGCTTTGTTCAACTTGTCACATTGGAAAATGGTTCTAGTTTTTGGACATTGTGTAGGGTTTTTTTTTAGGGTTTTAACTGTACAACTCTGTCTATAGTTCTCAGTTAGTGAGTACTTTCAATACTTTTCTCCCCTGGATGGAGACGTGTGTCGTTTCAGGACCTTGGGGGGTGGTAGAATACATAGAAAAGTTATCACCGAGAAAACTCATGCTTGGGTTACACCTGGCATTGCTCACCACGAGGCCAAGCATTACTTCACAAATAAATCACATCTGTATATAACAGCAGGTGAGATCCAATTGAGACGCAATAGTGCCCTTCCAAGGGACAGCTTTGATTTTTATAAAATTTTCCTGCCTGTCCCTCTGATGGCATGCCCCTATCTTGCTTGCTGGTGAACATGAACGACTGACAACATTAGGTTATTGCCCAAATGTCATGAACAACGTTTTCAAGATCTCTGTCTCTGCAATCGCACATTTTAGCCAACTTCACACTGCTCTTGAAATGTGTTCATCACTCCAGAACATGACTGCATTATCGTCGTAAAAAAAAAATGCAGTTTAAAGTGCGTATCAAAAATGTAATGGAACAAATCACCACCTGCTTCACGATGGATGTGAATAGTAAATAGTTAAATGATGCCGAATAGCCGCAAGAAAACAAGTGTTCTGGTTTTTCCACTCGTGTTTCGTCATGGTTACTTTGCCTAACCTACAGAAAATGACTTTATAATGGCACTGTTCTTAGCTCTGTATGCATATTTATTGTTTTTTTTATAATACAGCTTGCAATAACATGTCAATAATACAGCTTCATTATATTTGATAACGTGTTTTCGCTGTGAGCTATTTGACTGTGAGCCCTTGGGGCTGGCTGAGTCTGATGCTGTCTGCCAACATTGCATAATTAAACTTATGGCGGTACCCCCGGGGTATCATAGCGATGCAGTCATTTTTAGTCTGTTGATGGTCGGCGATGCGACAATCGACTCATCTCGACGAGCTGTACGCGATGCACCACCACGTGGTGCGTACGAGCGTTCAGGGTTTCAGCGCAGTCGTCCTCGCTGCGTTTCGACATCGCGGAGTAGCACCGATTTCGGATCGATTGGTACCCCAGTCGCAGGAGTGAAGTACACCCCTGGGAAAAAATAGTGTCCCAGAAATAAAATATTTAATTGCCTCGGCCCATTTTGTATTATTTGGTAACCCGGGGTACCGCCATAAGGATAGTTAACTGCAGTGTGTGCACAAGCCCACATCACAATCGATTGATCTTGAACATAGTAGATGTAACACGGGGCTGTCTCTACAGGTTTTGATAATATTTTTAACCGTAACTATGTTAATACATAGCTTGTGGCCGCCCTATACATGCACGTGTTTTTATATAGAGTACATATATATGTATGTAATGGCGGTAATAAATCTTGAGAAATTAATATTAATAGTGTGAATAGTTGCCCATTTGAATACATTAATATGCCAAGCTTGCGCTTTCAAATTTCTTCTAACATGTAGTCTTGTGCATATTTGATAAAGGAAAAAAAAATCCCGACTTTTCGGATTAATGTGATAACTTAGTGATCAGCGTAGCAGCTTTAAATGTTGCTATATATGTATGTGTTTTTTTTTATTTTATTTCTTGTCCATGCCAAAGTTGTCCATTTTGTGGAGCCACGTGTTTGTCTTTTGTTTCCTTGTGCCCTCCTGCGTCTTGTTTGTTTAGGTTGTTTCTGTCAGTGAGTACCATCGCAGAATTGATGAACTTAATTCGGGAGAACTCCGTAACCTCTGCAAACGTCTGAAGGTGGCAGGACCTAGGAGTGATTTTTTTTTATCATCATTGTTGCTTTCATTGTTATCACTCATAATACGGCTTGCTGCGTCCCGCTGTGTTTTATTTGTCAAATTATGCATGTCTTTGTGGTTATTTTGGGTTTCTTATTTTACTCTAGAAAATTCCCTTATGAAATACACCATGCATTCCAGGAGATGCTAATGGTAAAAACTGTTTGCTCCATGTTACTAATCAATTAATAATCTGCAGACACTTTTGAAGTGCTGCTTAAATGAATTGTGCAATGGAAAATAGCTGAGGGAATTTTCTACGTAATATCATGTCATCAAACACAGTCATCAGCAATTGCAAACAGATACCCACAGAATCTGTTGCATTGCGATGGCTCGTTTAATGTAAGCCTAGCAGCTACTGTACACTTTTAGGAAACATGGCTTGTGCAAGATGATGACACTGGCTGATACACACTGGCTAATAATCATTTTCACTCTATGGTGATGGCAACAATTATCAATTGAATACGGTGCATTCAATTGATCCTTTTTTCACTGTCATACCTTGGTGTCCATCACATGTCAAGACACACAAGCGTGTACAACAACAACAAAACATATTTTGCAAATAACTATTAGAATTCCCGAGTGTGTTTTGAGTGGGGTAATTTCCTTGCACGCGATAGTGTGTGTGTGTGTGAGAGAGAGAGAACTTGAGTGTGTGTGTGTGTATATGTTCTAATACTTGCTTACTCGCACACATAGATCGTGACTGCAGATGAAGCAAAGAGGCAGCATGGCCCAATGGCTTCGACCATTGATCTAGGGCCAGAGGCATGGAAACCAGTCCTCAACAGCTCCAGCTCCATACTGGAACAGGATCACATAAATAAGGCATGTGGCGATGAAAAACCATTTTCATTATCTGTCTTAACTCTCCTACCCCGAGTGTGAAGTGTGATTGAACCGCAGCCAGCTCAGGACTCAATTAATTGAGTTCATGTAATGGCCCATTGCGATGAAAGTAAAACAAGAAAATATGTTTTTGCCAGACTCTAAACTCCAAAGATGAAATGTTAATTACAGGAAGGCCACATGATCTAAACATCATTGTTCGTATAATTACTTTGTTGCACGTTTTAATAATATATGTTCAAATACCCGCTCCCAGTTCCTTTTATTGTTATTTAAAAGTAAGAGCAGTTGTTAGCAGCACGCTACCCATGAATATTTGAATATGCCACAGCTCCATTGAGCTTTGCTTAAATAAAGGTCCAGTCTCGATGGGTCAGCCACACACATCTCCCTGCTCAGCCTTGGCTAATAATACATCCTGCACTGCATATACTGCAGATTTTGAACTGAGTGAAAATAATCTGTCACCCTGCTGTTTTTGGAATCCTATCAATGAAACTGTGTGAATTTGTTCGGCTTACTCGAGCGGCAGTTGTTCATGTTCTCACTATTCACACGTTTAATATCAAATAAACTTTCAATTTACGTTATGTTGAAATTATCTTCATCACAGTCTTTAGTGTAACAACATCAAGTCACTGTGGGGACATTCACATCTGTGGGTGGACAGGATGGCAGGCCGTCGAAGGCACCCTGTTGATTGAGACTCAGTCACGTTGCATGGCATTAGCGATGCTGGTCGTTGTGTTTTTTGTTATCAATGAGTTCCTGTATCAGAAAGAAAGGAACCGGATCTGGTGGCTGTATTCCCACGACATTAAAACGAGACAATCCTTGAAAACTACAGAACAAATCACGTCAGCCACCATTGACACCTTTTATCTCTATGCATTGCCATTGCCAGAGAGTACTTGTATTTGTATTAATATAGAACATTATATACCACGTTTAATTAGTAATTACACCAAAAGATAAATATGGGGAATCAATACTGATCACTCTAGTTTAAACTTTCCTGGTCCACTGCACTTTATGAATATTTCCAGGTTCATGTGGAAATGATGCAAAATAAATTCTGTGAAATTCACGTGGCAGTCAGTGGCCCATTTAAACTTTATTAACGGGCTGAAATCTGTGAATACATTTGTTACTAATTCGACAAAAATGCTTGGTGTGTCTTCGTGTTGCAGCTGGCAGCAAACCTTCCCCCTCGCACGGTGGGATACCCATGGACGCTCGCCTATAGCACATCCAAGCATGGAATGAGCCTTAAAACCTCTCTACCGCACCATGGTTGGTCTGGACTCTCCCCATGTTGCTTGTGATTAAAGACACTGACCGGCAGGTAAGCATAATTGAGTCATCAGTTACGATATAAAACTTCCCTACGTGCATTCTTCTTCTTCTCAGTAGGTCCTTCCGATCGCTGCGAGATAGAACGATGAAGGTCTACAGCTTCTAGTCTCGTAATGTTTGCCATCTCCTCCGGTTCCAACTCATTGTCTCTGCAGAGGATGTCAGCGTTGGCTTGTGCCTCTGTTGCTTTGTTTCTTCTTCCATTCTAGATTTGAAGCTTTCGTGACTGCAAGGATTCATACTCTTAGGTTTTTTTTCGGTAAAGTCACGTAGATAAAAATAAATAATAAAAATAAAATAATTGAAATAATAATAGAAATAAAATGATAAATCACAACGTTTCGGAGGCAACACAAGTCTCTGTATCAAGTAAATGATACAGTAAATCTAGCTGTGACGGTCCCACCTGATGACGGAGACTTGTGTTGCCTGTGAAACGTCGTGATTTATAATTTTATTTCTATTATTTTATTTATTATTATTTATTTTTATCTACGTGACTTTACCGAAAAAACCTAAGAGTATTCTTCTTCCATGTTCTCCACATCAGCAGCTTGCCGATTTCTTTATCATACTTTCTTTTCCGTTGTCCGACAAACTTTGAGCATCCTATCCTTGAGTTGCCGAGTCAGTCTTTGCCTTCATAGATTCCCTTCCTTCTTGATTTGATCCTTTCCGCTGATGTTGAGTGCTGCCGCCACAACTTTAGCCGGCCCTCTCATTGAAATTGAAATACCGTGGTTTAAACATTAGCAGCCTACTTGGGTTTTTTTTTACACAATTTTTTTTGTCACAAATATGTGGACGATGCAAAGTTTGCTGCTGTCCTGTAACTTGGGGATGTTAAAATACCCCAAGCACTTCATAAGAGTTCAGCCAGACAATAAGGTTTGTCAGTGTACAGCGAACATGTCTGATAAATATGTAACAATGCCCTCAAAGCAAAACAGAATCTCCTTTACGGTTAAGCGGTAGATATCCCAACTGAGCAACGTTCTGCTTCCACGTCACAATGTGCCGAGATAATTCATATTGAATAGTGAAGTGTTAAAAATGCTTCACTGTGGTCACTTGCTGAACTCAGGCATGTTGCTGCTCGCGAGAAATTGTTATGCAGCATCAGGGCTGGCACAAATCAAAAACGCTCACCACATTCGTAATTAATGCTGTCTCGTAAAACATAATCGGCTCAAATTTCTGTCAATGATGACCTTTCAGTGTATAACAAATGTGCTGATTCATAGTTGGAAACAACGCTTCATACTGGTGCCCTAGCACGTAGAAGGGAGATGACATGCACAGCTGTGAATCAATATCGGACGTTTTTCCCTTTTCCGTATGTACGTTGAACTTCTTTCGTACATTACTAGCCAACCGTGCCAATCGGAGTTGCAGTGGAAGGACAACAAACTAAATAACAAAAATTGCTTTGTTTAAGCAGTCAGAAAGTAGAACTCCAGTCCTCAGATATGGATACACAAACGGATGTAAATAAATATTTTCATTTGACGCTGCAGAATTGGATGACGATATAAAATGAGAGCAGAATAATGTGAGATGCGTACAGCTCAAAGACAATGCACTATCAGAGAAATGAGAGCTCGGGGTGAGCATCTACATCATGGGACCTATACTCACCCCGAGCTCTCGTTACTCTGATAGTGCATTGTCTTTCGAGCTGTACACCTTTTGGCGTCCTCTGGTCTAACACCGTTTGAGACGAGGCTCAAAAGAAAGCTGTCTCTGGTGTGGACTCATCAGTTTCAAGGACAATGCATTTATTATGAGAGTGTTTTTTGTTTGCATTCTGACCACAAGTATTGTGGTTAATGCAGACATGATTCCTCGTAAAAAAAGGTTTCGGTTTTGTTGCCAGAAAAAGGGGAAAAATCTATTCTTATACGAATATGACTGTTATGCTGAGCAATTGTTATAGGTGCATTGTATTATTTGTAGGAGCTTAATGCAGCTAGCTTTATCAGGGCTTCAATAAACACAATTTATACGTCAGGATATTAAAGTTGATATAAATATAGCAAGATCCATGAAATTTAACAACTTAAACTGCAGCCTTTTACATTGAAAGATGATTTTAAAAAAGGGCTTTATTACCCTTTATGGCATATAAATACAGGTATTAAGATGTTGAAACACCAAATATAAAACTATTACAAAGCATCAAGTCTGCATTGACCACACAATTGGAAAAAAATTAACCCGTAAAAACTAAGTTTTTCACTCTAAATCCTTTATATGCGTGGCGGCTAGAGTCCTCTCGTCCGCTGGCTTGAGATGGCTGCCACCTATGGGTCAGATGATTGTCTGCCAGCATTAAGCAATTGGTAATTAAATATTTTTAAAAAATTCCCTAAACAGTGTAAAATTTTGGAATTTTTTTTTTCACGAAAATTAATTGTCACACACAACGAGTCTGGGAAGTGTGTTAAAAAAACGACCGAAAGATTTGCACGGTCGTAAGCAAGCAAGCAAGCACGCAAGCACGCAAGCAAGCAAACAAGCAAGCGAACTTAATATAAAGGATATAAAAATGCAAACAAACGTGCTGTGTGCACTGTCTTTGAAACTGGCCTACACCAGAGACAGCCTGGCAAAAAAAGTGTCCCAGAGTAACGGCTTTGCATTTAACCAGAGGTGGCGGCTGGATTGATCAGAACTTAGCGTTTACTCAGTGGCCACACGAAGTGCAGCTACGAAAAGTCGTGTTGCTTTGCAAGCCCGAATACATTAGTCGAGGCCTGATAATTTGTTAGTTCTATTTTAAATAAATATATACAGTTGATAATAGGGCATATGTTACTCAAATGCATTTGCATCATTGAAAGAGTCTCTCTTATTTTTAATGACAGCAACATCTTCATTCGGCCTTCCGCCTAATGCTTTTTGCAATGCCTTAAACGATGTCCTTTTCTCACTTATTTGCTAAATGTAAGTGCATGTTGCTTTTAGGACTTCCTGATAAACAGGCTGCGTAGGAACTAATTGAGCCAGCCTTTGTATAGTTTTACAAATTAACATGAGGAAAAAATGGAATTTAATTAGGAATGAATGAGCTGTCATTTACGTAATGACGAATGAAGCTTGCGAGCCATTAAGTTCACACCAATTCAGTTGCACAATTTACCCAGCTCTGAGATGATTTCGCTGGAGAATTATATATTATGCAAGCATTCGGATTTCTGCAGGGGCGTTCGTCAAAGACCCCCTGCGTAGCATCATTCTCAAGAGTCATAGCTTGCGTAGAAAAAATGCGAAGATTAATAAAAAAAATGAAAAAATGGGTGCGTTGCATAACTACGATAATCTCATTTTTGTGTGTAAAGGAAGTATGACATCTTGATTTGAAGCTTTCGTGACTGCAGGAATCCATACTCTTTGCTTTTTTCGGTAAAGTCACGTAGGTAGAAAAATAAAATAAAAAATAATGATATATTATCGTGATATATTATTTTTTATTTCATTTTTCTACCTACGTGACTTTACCGAAAGAACCAAAAGAGTATGAAGTATGACATTTAGAAACTGGTGACTGATTGCTCTTTTCAACAATCTTACCGTACAGATTTTTGGAGCGCTTTCATCTGATCCCTTCAAAGTGAGCGATCATTTCTATGGCACAGGGGAGACCTTCCTGTTTACCTTCAACCCAGAGTATCAGGTTGGTGAAGAAACACACATTGTTCTCTGAAAGCAATTACAAGCCAAATGCATAATTTTAACCTCCCTTTGCACTAAAATAATGTGTTCGCCACAAGCCACTAAAGGCGAGCTGATTGATTTAATTTTGAAATGTGCGAGTCACTGTGCCCTTCGCTCTGTGGGAGGTGGGGATGTTCTATTCCCAGCGGTTATTGGTCGTATTACAGATCCACATTGGCCTGTTCTATCGTTACACAATCATTAATATTCCTCACTGCTCTCTCGCTATATGGAAGACTGATAAACTCTATCTGACATGTTACGAAACATACCTTCATTTTTTTTTACATATCTCTACGCAACTACTGCTCACTAAGTCAGTAGAGTCTACTGGTCATGCTCTGCTGTATATTTTTAAAAATCCGTAATCAGCATCATCAACACATCTCCTTGATGACATCCACACGAGCAGTGCTGGATACAGTGAATGGCATTTATTTTTACTATTCTCTGATTACAATATATTTATACGTTCAGAATTACGTCCCTATACACATTGCAGCACATGCTAGCAAATGTACAAAGCGTTTCACTAAGCTCTGCAAAAAAAAACACAGTTCGAAGACAATAACTGGAATCTCCAATAATCAATGAAAATCGATAGGGGGTACTTGAGACAAAACAGGGCTCAAGTAACAGGCTGCATGAGATCTTATCCTTTGCTCAATAGGATTTGCTCCCTGCTGTCACTGATTGAAAAAAAACTACACACACATTCACCTCCGAAGGTTATATTCTCTGAGATGTTTATCCTCATAATTCGGTAAGAGGAAATTACACATACACGTTCATCCCATTGGCTTTGCCTCATCGCACATATTCCCATTGCAGTGCTACAAATGGACTGGAGACAACCTATTCTTCATTAAAGGAGATATGGACTCGCTGGCAATCGGCGGTGGAAGGTTAGTCCTTCGTACACTAAAAGCATCACGGGTTTATAGCTCAGCGGACAGCGGTAGAGACCATCTCTATTTTTATCCCCGAATGTGTGAGCCCACGAGCACGTGTGCACGTGTGTACGTGTGTGTTTATTGCAGTGAGACTGATTCTGTGCAGAGCGGCAATGTCGCGGTTAGCGCGCTGCGCTACAAACCCGGCAGACTGTGTTCGATTGCCGCTCACGGCCAACACCAGTGACAATTGTCTGAACGGGTCCTGAGCCACCTCCTCGGTCGACTCAGCCTCAAATGAGTACCTGGTGCCATGTGTAAACATCGCCACTGGGGAGACAAAGGCAGCCGGGTGTGGTGCTGGCCACCTACCCCCTCGTGTACCGTGCTGGCTTTCATAGGTGCTAGAAAACAGAACTTGCTCCCAACAGTGTATGAAGGCTATACGGGGGATCTTTGTCTTTGTTTGTTGCAGCGATACTGATTCTGTGCAGAGCGGCAATGTCGCGGTTAGCGCGCTGCACTACGAACCCGAAAACCTGCGTTCGATTCCCGCTCATGGCCAACACCAGTTACGATTGTCTGAACCGGTCTTGAGCCTCCCCTTAGGTCGACTCAGCCTCAAATGAGTACCTGGTGCGGCGTGTAAACATCGGCGCTCGGGAGAAAGAGGCAGCCGCGGCGTGGTGCTGGTCAGCCACCTTCTCCGTGTGCCGTGTCGCCCTTCATAGGAGCTCACTAACATTTGCCCCAACAGTGTATGAAGGCTATACGGGGGATCTTTGTCTTTGTTTGTTGCAGTGGACAATTTGGCTTGTGGTTGGATGAAGACCTGTATCATGGACGGAGCCACTTCTGTAAAACCTTTAATAATGAAACGCTATCGAAGAAAGAAGACTTCTTCATCCAGGAGGTTGAAGTTTGGCTGTTTGAATAGTGGATCACTACGGGGCTGTCCAGGCTGTTTAATCCGATCTCCTTGTGGCTTCTTTGCAATACCTGTTGATGTTGTATAGATAACTTGCAATGTCAATACTATTTGATCACGGTGGAGCTTTGGGTGCCGCTGTATTTTGACTCATCATATACGAAAACAGCTTCAGTGGTAGACGTGAAAGTTATGCATAATAGGAAACCACACAATCCAACGTGTAAACAGCAGTGGAGCAACACAATTGGCCTTTTAACATCAGCATGAGCATAGAGTAAAAGATATACCGATTTGATTCGGTGCACCGTACATTGTGTTGTGTGCTTATAATGTGGCACAATTCTCTGTCGTTTCCTCAGATTATGCGATTAGGTTATCGTCACCCATCACAGCTGTTTATGTAGCTGTTCAGACTGTATAATGAGGGTTGAAATAATGAGTTGTATAACTTTGAATATTTAACGTTGCTTTGGTGTCAGTAGTCACTAGCTCATTATGGTGTTATGCCCTGTAGGTTTGAAAGATGCGATTGAATTTTTGTCAACACTTTTTCAAACAGTCAAGGTTATGCCACTGAGCTTTACGTGGGAGAGATGTGAAATGCAACAACATCAGTTACGGCTTAACCCAACAGAAACATACATGAACACAATTTGCATTATAACAACATTGTATGTACTTGGTACTGCCAATTAAATAAATTTGAGCAAATACATGATTACGTGTTAATAAATAATAATAGCAAAGTAATAAATGTTGTTGCTATTTGCACACGTTTATACTTAACCCCAACCAATGCTTAGCAATGCTAAGGTGATCCTACAATGCAGTGTATATTGTACACATAATGGTGTGCATTATATTGTATATTGTGTTGCTTGGTCTGCCAGTTAATTGAGTCTGTGTCTATAACGTCCGTGGTAAACCAGTAGAGTTATACAGTTGTACTCCGGATTCTCTCAAGCTTTCAGATGGCGCTAGCATATAAACACAGTGACATCCTGAATCCGTAAGATGGTGTGTGAATCCAATATATGTGCTGGTGACTATGTTATATGCAAGAGCATTTATTTCATTCCGGCATGCAGTAAGTGCAATCGAGTGCATTGTACAACATAGCAGAGCAACCTCCCCGGAAAATCAAGCACGTCTCAAAAACAATGGCAAAAGGATGGTATCTGAGAAGCTGCAAGGACGTAAGTAGAATGCAATGCTATTTTAAATGCTTGCCAAGCAGGCGTGTGTTGCTGTGATGGTTAATGGATAGCTAAGTGCATAAGGATTTTTTTGAAAATGATGTGTAAGTCGGCTAGTGTTGTGATCGCATCGCAACAACTGCCTGTCATTTGCAATACCAGAGGTTAAGAGAGGGGGCATTTTGGGTAGTGCTGCAAATCGTCCTGCAAAAGTATCTTGTGCGTGTTCGTAATTTCAGTGGGAAAAAGATTATTTCAATAAGCAACGATGGTCTCACAACAGTACCTTAACTCTCCATTGTCGTGTCTGACTCACCGAGGCATGCTACACTATACTGTAGCTGTATAACCCACTCCTGTAATGTCCTAGAGCCATATGTATCTGTAGCACAATAACTTTCGATTTTAAGCTTTCGTGACTGCAGGGATTCATCTTCTTGGTTCTTTCGGTAAAGTCACGTAGAAGGGAAGTAGAGATGCCGCGACTCTAAGCTTAAATATACGCTCTAAGCTTGGTGGTGTTTCATTCTTTACCTGAGGACGGCTGCTTGCGATGTGGCTGAAACGTCGTGAGAATTATTTTATTATGTTTTGTTTTTATTATTTTATTACTTCCCTTCTACGTGACTTTACCGAAAGAACCAAGAAGAGCACAATAACTGTTGACCTGCAATTTTTATTCCTTTAATTCTTCGTTGGGCATGTGTAGATCTTGTTTCCATACCGAATGCATCTAAAACAGTTAAAACCACAAGGAAATTATTTTTAAAAAGTATCACTTTGTTTAGATATTATACTATACAGTTGGGTATGATTGATACTAATTGGATCATTTTTTTGTTTTTGTTGTTGAACATGCTGATTTGGAAATTCTGACAAAATGTGGTCAATTGATTTGCTGTCAGTATGGAACTGCATTTTATGTCATGAAATAAGTAGGTCATTCAAAGTATGAATGCACTGGTTCATGTTTTCTTTTTCCCTATATTTTCCCCAATAGTTTGTATCTACAGTATATACAGTATACATGCTCTTGCCGTTTAATATGCAGTCATTATGATTGCTCAATAAAACTCATTAAAAACTCTGAAAAAAAGAGAAAAATTGAAGAAGAAAAAAAGAAGTAAACTTGAATGTTTAATATTTTCATTCCTGCTAATGTGTATATGTTGTTGTACATTTATGAATGTAAAGTAAATGAGAAATTATATATATACATATAAAGTTTAATCTGTTATGGTTTACAAAATGCTGGTTTAAAACAGCCTAGATTGTACCGGACATGCAAACCTCACTGTCCTGAGTGACAGGTGGCTTTCGAGTATTAATAGCAAATAAAACAATCCTTGGAATTATACCCATTGCTGGTTTTTGTGATGTAATTACCAAATACAGTCATTTGTTAATTTCACTGTCAGGGGTATTCGTTCACGTGCCGTCTGCGAACTCGTGGAGCCAATTGTGTGCGTTGTTGTGACCTATGGTACACGAGTCACAGTTCATGGAGATGTTTGATCTCAAAGGCATATGGTATAGATCAGGGGTCGGCAACCTACGGCTCCGGAGCCGCATGCGGCTCTTTACAGGCTGCTTCTTGACGATATGTACGTATTTACTCAGATGCATTGCGGCTCTTGAAATACTGAATTTTGTACCGAATTGTAAAGAAATGGCTCTTCTTGTTATTTTGGTTGCCGACCCCTGGTATAGATAATAGCATTGCCATATTTTCCGTGATGAGAAAAAAAGAGAATAGTTTCAACGTACACAACTGCTTTAGTTGAAATTCTTATATTTGTGTTTGTTGCATCTTCACCGTCATTATTATTAAAACTATGATTTCACCATTATGATTGCAGCCATCAACTTTGTGATCGTTATCACCATCGCGATCATCTGTGCGATTGGCCAGTTTTGGTACCAAGCGTTGTACAATCTCAATGTGAAATCGATTTTAGCAGAATGCACAGTTTAGAATGTGTATTTTTTTCTGGAACTTCATGGCACTTTCAGTTACCAGAGTTTCAGTTACCATAGTTCATAGTATGACACATTTCTGGGTTATATGCGAGTGGATACATCGTCTAAAAAGTCAGGACCTCATTGTCAAATTAAAAGTCTGAACTGGATGTAATATTTAAGCGAGAGATCGATGTTCATCATCCACAGACTTTTGTTTTAATGGAGTTTTCTCAGAGCCAGAGCGACTGGAACAGGGTATTATTTGATGTTGTATTCTATATATGCAATTAAAATGTGTTTTATGTATATTGCTGAGCCACAAGTAAACATCCCTGATGACATTTCATCAAAAGATTTTGGGACTTATGTTGGTTTCTTAAACCGTAATACACAGCGAGACGCTGAACATCCACCACTGTTGCTGTTGGCTCTCGCCATGACAAGACCTGCAGGATGGGATTGCGAGCAGACCATCGGAACTGGAGCGGTGTTTCAACGTCACTGTGGACGTTCCCGCAAATGTCATGTAGTTGGTCTCGAGTGTTATAATTTGTGGCAACACTTACACGATATATTTCTGCAGGCTTTTAAATTCTCATGTTTCCTTTTGTTAATGGACCACTCTTTCGTTAAGGTGTTTCGGAGCTGAATTCAGAGGTCGCGCCTGTTTGATTTACATCTTCTGGCGCGCCAGTTAAAACCACGTGCAAGTTTATTCAATCCCCCCTGCCTCCCTCTGTCCACCCAGCAGAATATACAAATCTGAATATTTATACTGGAGGAATCCGATGCATCTATCAAAGACTGTCCAGTAATATACAAATGGTCCATGCCAGAGTTCGTCGATTTGGCAGGTGGCATGTGAATGGGTAAAGTGTGGAGGATGTCTGAGCACCATTGAACAGTCGGCTAAATACCCGCTAGAAGGGATCTCTAGAACGCCCTGTCGTGGAAGCCCTTCCACCAGTAGTTGTGTGAGCAAGCATTTGCATGCTTGCCTCTTTATCTTCTGTAGAGCCAAGCTTCAAAATGGCAAGTGGATATGCACGCTGTTAGTGATCTACATAAAAAAAAAACCATCGTGTACTTAGATGGAAGGCTGTGCTCTGGGCAATTCTCTTTTTTCCCCCAAGATAGCCACTCCAACACTTGCCGCTGTCACCACAAGGCCAGTAAAAATCGGATACTTGGGAAAATATTCCAAAATGTATCCCGATTATGATCTCGGAGTCATGTTGATGAAACGAATCTCGCAGAGCAACGAAAAACCGTCTCCGTGTTAGTGAGTGGCCCATGGAATTTGATATCGCAGAGTTACCTCTGAGATCCATTCAATTGAGTGCTCTTACGTCCAATAGAGGCAAGTACACATGCTCAGCATACGCGAGCAATGTTTGTTGGGTAATAGTGAAAACGATATTAAATTCTCAGCTGTAATTAAAATACAATTCAGTGCGACATGAAATGTAATGGCATAGGTTGTTTTGTGCAGTCATCGGTAACCCGCTGAGACCATAACGTCATTAGACTTGAGATCCCGGTTTTAACCACGTGTGACTGCCTGGATTCAAATCCAGGATGTCGGTGGGAGCTCAACCTCTGTCTCGCTTGACCACCTCTCACAATGCGAATGTTGAATGTCAGCTTTGAGCAAGTACATTTTAAGACAACGGCCTTAATTTTTTGTCCACCTAAAATTGTCTACAAGGCTTCACCACCGTGGGCTTCTGTAATGTTTTGTGAAATCATTTTCTTTGTAAAAAAAATATATCATTTCCAGAAGAGTTGCATGAAATAAAAGCTGTGATATGTTTTCGCGTTGTACCATATGTTGCTCGGCATGATGTCTGACGTTTCGCTCCACATGCTGGGAGCTTCTTCAGTTCCTCTTCCTGAAGAAGCTCGGAGCGCATGGAGCGAAACGTCGAACATCGTCACACACAACACGCGGTAAAACCCAAAAATGTTGGAGAGCGAACACCTTCGCAGTCGCTGAATTAATATAATCTTTAACAATTCCAGAAATTATGTGATAAATTAAGTCTCAAAATCTGGAGGAAACATCTACATGTCGATTGTGGTAATCGCTTTATATATATTTTTTACACCCATTCATAAAATTGCCAAGTTCTTCATATTCCACAGATAAGTACTATTAATTGTTTTGCTTTAAATAATGCTGCTTTAAATTGAAAATGACCAGAGGTGTAAGAATAGTATATACCGTGCTGTTTAATGTGCTGTGTTTGCAGGTGGGCACTCCCAATGCTTTATACCATTGGCAGTGCTCGACTGCTTACGGCAGGTGTTGTATACTTAAATAGCCAGTCAATCTGTCTGTGCAGTGCTTCTATGCCAGATCCTATATATATACATATTTATATATTTAAGAAAATGACTGTTTGAAACTTACACTGTAGTCGGACAATGTTCTGCAGGTGAATTTAATAGTGATAAAAAAAAGTGTGGTTTAAATGTTATTTTACAGCTTTAACGTGGAATTATAATGGTGTAAAACTTTGGTGTTATGGTACACACACACACGTTTGGTTGAATAATAGCCTTGAAAGTTTTGTTGCATTGGCCTTAAACACCGGTTAGTTGTGTACATAGCAGGACAATGGAAGTTGCAATAAGGCACATTCGTACTTATGTTGTGGTTTATAATTAACAGGTTTGGAAAGGAGTTGCTGTATTTTATGCATTGTTGTTGGTGCACCAAAACGGTAAATGGGGTTTATTGAATGGTGTTTCCTTCGTAGTTGATGCACTCCGTTGTTAATTAGACTCTTAAATATCGTGACCACCTTTGTAATAAGTTGTGTGGTTGTATTAAGGCACTGTACCACCTTATGCATACTCTTACCACTGTATATGTAGGAAATACAGTGTAATGTGCTTAATAAAAATAATTAAACGCAAATGATGTCGCGACATTTTTTTGCATACCGGTATGTACAGCAACAGGCTAATAGAAAATTATAGTTAATGTGAAGAACAGTTTTCTTGACGACCGCAAGGACATGTTTTCTTTTCTCAAAGCACGTACCGAAAAGCAAAACACATTCCTGCGGAGGGAGCTGGTAGGAACGTTGGGTTGCTCGGTCAATGGCCTGCAGGGTCAACGGCGGCGTGGTGTATTCCGCAAATATGCCCGACTGTGAGGGCGGGCACAAGCCGGCGTGAGTAGGTTAAACGTTGAGTTTTATAAGGGCACCACGGGGTGACCAGCCCCTCCCCTCCCCACCCAGCCCCTCCCCACCCAGCCCCACCCTCCCCACCCAGCCCCTCCCTCCCCACCCAGCCCCACCCTCCCCACCCAGCCCCTCCCTCCCCACCCAGCCCCACCCCTCCCACCCCCACCCAGCTCCACCCAGCCCCACCCCTCCCACCACCCACCCCACCCAGCCCCTTTCCACCCAGCCCCTCCCCACCCTTCCCTCCCCACCCAGCCCCTTTCTCCTCACCCAGCCCCTCCCTGCACGACGGACGGACACAATACTCCCCTGTGCGCTGGTGTAACCAGGAGGTTCCTACCAGTAATATGATTTTTCTCTGGGTGTGAGATGCAAATTAGCAGGGGACTTCTATCACAGCTCGACATTGGAGCCAATACACCGGCTTATCTGCTCCTGATTTGGAGGGCAGCATAGGGCAAAGAGCATCTGTGCTGCGGAGATATGCTTAGCGTGCCAAGACGGATCTTATCATTTTAGATACAGAGGCCATTACCCACTCCCCTCCCCATCCTCCTTCTAGAGGCCTCCAGAAAACACCACAGCACTAGGGGGCACTTATTAGTAGTACAGTACAGCCATTAAGTCATGTCCAGCTACACAGGCTGCTTCAAAAAAATATTAACACTTATATGAGACTATCGTTTTTAATGGAAAAAGAACGGACACTACACACTGTAACATGATAAATGCATGTCAATAGCTTCAAAAAGTCTCCACTTGTTCGCCATCATTGTAATCTTCTCCAGATGGTCCTCCAGAGCCTGGAGGCACATTTCTTGTGGTGTTGTTGCAAATTCGCAGAAGTGTGAACATTGTTTTGAAGCACGCTGTACTTTGTTGGCAATTACTTGGTTTGCGGCCGAACATTATAATCTGAACGTTTAGAAACAGTTCAATTTGTCCAGTCCTATTTATTAACCCAATAAAAAAAAATTGCTTAGTTATAAAAAATAAAGCTTACAATTATTCACATGTATCTATTTAGTTTATAAATAAAACTCGGCATTTCCAACTGTTCCTAAGCTTTCAGATATAAATGTTCAGCCGCAGGCCAATGAATTGTCAACAAAGATCAGGTGGACATCTGTGCAAAAAGCGCTTCATAGCTCATCCGATTCCTCCAGTATTCTGATACAGCTATTACATCATTTTTAGTGCCTGCAATAGTGAGGGCATTTAAATATTGAAGCAAGTACGTATACACGTGATATATTGCATTTTAGTGTTACTGTGCTATGCCTGTGATTTATTGAAATAATATAAATATGTTCCGCAAGTTTTTTTTCTCTCCCTAAAACTGCATAAAATAACATTTGACATGGCATAGGCACAGCTATACATGCGTAATAAATACAAATAAATTATCTGCATGTGTAAATAAGCAAGGTCAAATAAAACTTGAATGACATGTATCTATAGAATTTGACAGTAAAAATGAAACCATATTACATGAAGTGAGAGGAAAACATTGCACAACATTAATATGAGATATAAACTTAACAACATTCGCGACATTTCACATCCGACAACAGCGTACAATTTCGAGATGATACCTTAAACATGAATCTCAAAGCGTGTTTTCTCACACTTCAAAAAAACCCACGAACTTTTGTCCATGGCTTTCAACTTTTTGGATTTTAGGGCAACACAAAAGCCACCCGTTTCAAACAATATGCGTCGTTTGACATCCTCCGGCACCACCGACTCATTGCACCGCTATCGCAGCAGCGTGATGATAACGTGGTCGTCCCTGCCCTGCCACAACATTTCGCCCTCGAAGTCCACCATACCGTGCTTCCTCGCCCTCAGCAGGATGCCGACCACCTTGTCGGAGATGCGCACGTACCGATCGAACAGCTCCCCGAACGGCATGCGCACCCTGCCGTCGCGGCCCTGCACACCCATGCCATTGATGATGAAGCACATGTCTTCCATCTCGCGGCGGATGTGGCGCTCGGCCCTCTTGGCCCTCTCCGCCGTGAGGGTCCCCTCCTTGGGGCGGCCGTACCCCTCCTCGCCCTTCTGGAGCCGCGTGGCCAGGGCGTGCTCCGCGTCGAAGCCGTCGCTGAAGGGGTTCAGCTTCTGTGTCTCCATGTGGTCTTCGGACCACTTGGCCCAGCCGCTCTGGAGGTCCTTCACGCGGCTGTAGCGCGACTTTTGCCTCCCGCCCTTTGACCTGTCCGTGCCAGGTTTCGCGGACGACCGTTTGATGCCGATCGCCGGAGCTTCCGAGCCACCGCCGTCGTCGCCGCCGTGGTTCGTCGCCTCGACGGCTTCGCCGGCGCTGCCTTCCCCCCGCGCCACGGCGAGGACGTCGCCGGCGTCGATGCTGTTGTTTCTGCTGGCCTCCAGAGAGCTCAAGCCACTGTCGCCGTCCTCCTTCTCCGCCTGACGCCACCCCGTCGACAGCTCCGAGACGAGGCCATTGCACCGCCGCCTCAGCGTGGGCGACATGCGGTCGCTCAGGAGATAAAGCTTGTCGTCCACCGCACTCGGGGGCTTCCCTTGGTTTTCCTGAGCCGACGGCTCGAAGCAGCTCTTCAGCATGCTGGTCATTTCCTTGCGTTGCTCTTTCACGCCCCGTCCATTGCCCCTTTCGCGAGCTCCAGTCCTGATGGACGTGTTCACGTCGGGCACGAAATCGGGCTGAAGGTTTTTCAACGTTGGCATTGTTAATTCTTTCTTTGCGGCGTTTTCTGCGTCCACGGACAGCTTTCTCGTGAAGGAACACTGTTCGCCATTATCGCCATCTTCGCATCCAGGCGTCCAGCCTGTGGGTTCATTCGATTGCTTACTTTCATTCTCCTGAGCCCATTGCTGCCAGCCCTTCGTAAGGCTGTTCACCATGCTCACACACCGGATCTTCCGCACGATGTCTTTGGTGCTTCTTTTCAACGTTACCTGTAAAGGTCAAAGAGCGAGACGTGTTACCATGGTCAATCCGTTGATGCCACCACACCTCGCCAAAACGTTTGACCTCTGCCAGGTCCCACGGATGGCTGCACAGTCTACACGCGATCTCCAATATCTGCCCTGATAGTATTCCACTATATTGTCTTAAGTCTTTCCCTTGGTTTCCCGAACTCGTGTAGGCCACTCCAATACCTATCCTGGCAAACGGTCTTCCTCAGCACAAGACTATTTCCATCATCATATCTGTATGTACTGTGTGTTGAACTTATTTCGCACCGTACGCAGCCAACCGTGCTAATTGGAAGTGCACGGAAAGGACAACAAACTATACACAACAATCAGCTATAAAGAAATGAGTTTTCAATCTAGTCTCCAAAACTTGCCTGCCATTTTCTGTTGCAGACTTCTGCATTGTTTATGCTGTCTTGCCCACTATATTCCTATCGCCCACCTTTCATAACCTTGTGCTCAAATGGCCAATGGCTATTTTAAACAATTCGTCCAGCTCATGGTCTGTGCGGTAATACAGAGAGAGCGTATCTTGCCTCGAACTAAATTTTTTCTCAGACTAACCTGCGAGGAGCTCATCTTGTTCCCCAGTAACGCTCGGCAGGGCTTTGGTGAGAAGGCGCATTCGTGTTTCGTTGAGCCCGCTTGAAAGCAGGGCAGGCAGCTGGATATACTATTTATCGCCACTCTGGTATGGCTGGAATCTCCAGTGGGAGACCGGTTGGCTTGTGTGTCACCTAAAGGCATGGAAAGTTAGAGATCGTGTGACACGGTCATACAGCCGCATTGGCACGTTGTGTTTTCGCATGTGTTGACAAATCTTTTTGCAGACAAGGCAGGTTATATCTAGAGATAACATTATTCTAATTAAAAAAAAACCTTCCAAATATTGTTTGCTCTTCCTGGATATGTTTTATTTATGTAATACATAGCAGCCATCCCAAGGTTATCAGACAGATCAACAAAGCTTGCGTTAAAATAAGAATCCACTTTAAAAAAGAGTATTTATAGTGGTGTGCTGAGTCGAGGACATCTTTGAAACTTAGAAATGTTTGTGATGTCGGAGATTGTGAAAAACATTGGAGAATATTTGAGGATTGATGATGGTGGCCGTGAACGTCGGTCTATTTTTAGACTCTGACCATGCCCTTAAAGTGGTTTCAATCCAATGAATAACTGAGTGCCATCTTCATAACACATCCACCAATACTACTGTACTGCATACGTTGCTGCAATCTGAAAGGCTTCTATATTTTTGTAATAAAAAACATGCAGCGCTGCGATTTGCCTACCCACACCACTGCTTGTGGAATGGCCACCACTAGAAGGAGCTCCATGGAGGCCCTCTAGAGAGGGTCTTTTGGCTTACTCTTCCACACTGGCCAAGATGTTATGTATGCGTGTTGATCTTATTTCGCACTGTATGTAACCAACCGTGTTAATCGGTGCAGGGAAAGGACAACAACCTAAACACAAAACGCTGTTTTAAATCGAGATTTAAAATTGAATAGCTCCAGTGGCTTCCTAATATCGGAAGAGGTGGGAGTCCCCACACTTTACCGCAGCAACATGTTACCTGGAGGCCAGAGGTCAGGAGATTTAAGAAATTCCCAATTGTTTCAACTGCCACGCCGGGAGATCAAACCGGCAAACTCGAGATCACAAGTTCAGTGTGCTAACCATTACACCACAGCCGCATTTAATTTTGTATTTCGGTCCCTGGAATTAAATTGGGAAATAAGAAACTACTATAGTAAGCACAACAGAATAAGACCAATGAATTCCATTAGGTGCCCATGGCTCCTGATTATCCGGAATACATTTCTTCATCTGCGAGGACCTTAATTGCTCGGCAGAAACACAATATTGGTCAGCTTGCCTTCATGTCGTATGCTTGTTATAAATTGTAGTGAATTCATTCTGTGCTGTTCGCAGGATACCAGTTGTCGGCATTGCAAATGCAACAATACTCTTCTGCGAATCGATCATGTGTAAAATTACATCGAATTCTGCATGGGATAACAACCATTTAAACAAGCACACCGTTTGCAATATTAGATCTCATCTGCCTTGCTCATACCAATTTTCCACGCTTGCTTACATTGCACTGTGGACAAACAAATACAGTGTGAATCTAAATCTTGACTTAAAGCTTTTGTGACTGCAGGAATTCATATTCTTGGGTCTTTCGGTAAAGTCAAAGAACCTATCTACGTGACTTTATTTTTTTGTTATTTTCTTTGAACCTATTTACGTGACTTTACCGAAAGACCCAAGAATATAGTGGGAATCGATTTTAACTTACTTCATCTCGGCATTCTCCCTTTTGACTGGACAATTGCATGAAGAAAAACGAACGAAGAAATGACCAAGCTACATGATTCGTCTCAATGAGTTAGTGCTTATATTATCTCCACGTTATTGGACCATGCATCACCGTGTTGATCAGTGTGGATTAGTGCAGGGTGTGGAGGACCACTTCAGATATTACTCATCAGCGACTTTATCCATGACCGGGAGTAAAACGTGGGTTGCCCGGTTTATTTCGCCCTGCATCTCTGCTCCATTACAATCACACACTTCTAACTATTTTATTAAACTATTTTTTTTTATTTTAACAGGTAAGGCTCACTCAGCTATTCAGCTCTTTTCTTCAGAGGCAACCTGGTCACAAATTATAGCTCGGCCAAGTGGCTTATCATGCGAAAATGTTTAGAAACCAATACTCTAAACGCGTGATGTTGATTCTCAATGTGGAGAGAAAACCCAGAGGACCCGGAGAAAAAATCCACGAGACCATGGGGAGAGAGAGACAGGCAGGGTTGGGCTCGAACCCACGACCTCCTGTATACCAGGCGAGGTAGTTAATATCTCGCCACCGCAGCGCCCCCACGGCCCTTCGACTATTCTACTACCCACTAGTAAGGTTTTGTTGCTCTTGATTCCGACGCACGCTCGGGCGGGAGGGCAGTGTTTCGGTTCATACTAAAGGAAGGGAATTCTGACCAATTGCTGAAGATTTTTTGAAAAGTAATTTCTTTCCAACTGCTTTTTGCGTTTAGTTTTGTCATTCCCCCGCATGCCTCCGATTAGCATCGGTGGCTATGTACGGCGCGAAAGAAGTTCAACATACATGCATACGTACAGGGTCGTTTTGAAACTCTTGCTGACAGTTTTGATGATAAGAATTAGTACATTTGGAAATCACAGTTCTCGAGTGCCGACTGGTGGGTCCACTACAGTACACAGGCATTTGGAAGGGGCACCTTTGCACAAACACACGAGTGTATCCCAATTTGCCTCGGTTGTATCGCCGTGCGAGCAGTGACCGGCAGTGCGGAGCCGATGATCGGAAAGTAACCGGACACCGTTGCGCGTCACGTGCGTCAGTGGAGGACACACCAGGTGGTGACCCAAGGGACAATCCCATTGACACAATTTTGTGGGCAGCAGGATGGGCACATCGGTGACGTGCCTCACCGCAAGAAGGACCCGGGTTCGATCCCCAACTCGGCTGACACGGGTTTCCTTCAGGTTATTCGGTTTCCTCCTCCAGCTAAAAATAAATATACAGTGTAACTGATATCGGCCAAAACACCCCCACTGGTGGAAAATTACCTGCAAATAACTCGGTTAAGATTACGCATAATAACAACAGTGGCGCCTATTGTGAAAACATGGCTTAAACCTCCTTAAAAGGAGCCGGGACTCAGGCTTTCGTGGGTGAACAAGTTTAGTAATATTAATATTATCCTGCTCTGGTTGACACATCTTCTCTGGACAGGAATGGCACCCTCTAGTGTGTGATGAGGCCGCCAATGATGCTCACTGATTCTTTGAGACCATTACCGGGCCATTGACTTTCGGTTGACATGAACATTATTTTGTGGTGGAGTGTTTTTCAATGTCATCCGAATTGGGCAATATTCTTTACATCCATTGCCAAAGGAGGGGTATGTCTTTTAAGCATTGATGGACTTGAGAATATAATCCTGGGTATACGCATACATGTAGAACTTATTTCGCACTGAACATAGTCAACTCTGCTAATCAGAGGTGCCCTGGGAAGGACAACGAACTAAACACAAAAAAGCATTTCGAAAGAAAAAAAATGTTCAATCTAGATTTAAAAGTGCATTGCTCCGGTGGCTTCCTAATATTTGAAGGAAGAGCGTTCCAGACGTCCTCAGAAACGCAGGGTTGAGGAATCATAAGGTATTGACTGCAGCTTAATATTTCATTACGATTGAAATCAACGACCCTATGAGCTTGGGGAGAGCATGGGGCATCATATATAATAACTTCTACATTCTGTCTTGCAGTGGCTGAGCGTTACTCAATTTTTTGGTTTTATTGGTCACAGGACTTGATCAATTTTCAATTACAGACCAATATGACAGAGGAATGAGGTGGATATTTGCAGTGAAATGGAGGACAATGTCAACCACCGAAGCTCTCATCAAAATCGCACATGCCTCAGTTAATGTCAATGATCATGTGCTCATTGACAGCTGCAATGAGGTTGCACAGAGGTGATCTTTTTCTGAAGACTAAAAAAAAAATCTTCTTTTTGAACGACGCACATTCATAACTTTTGATCAACCATTTGTCATCACAATTTAGTTTTTAATAAGTGAGTGCTACCTACTCTGACCTATGGATCAGAAATCTTCATACTGACAAACAAAATGGAACTGCAGGCTGTATTCGTGAATATACACAAGTTAGGGGCAAGAATATGACTCACCACGTAGGGTTTTCGCAGCCAATAATTACGATTCATAATTTTTAGTTGGGTTTGACTATGTAATGATCTGGCCAAATTTTCATCGTAAAAACCTTCCAAAGAAATTGTCGTGTACTCAGCCTTTAACGCACCAATAGTTTTTTTTTCACCTCAGGTAAGTCGAAGAACAATTTTTAAATCCTTTATATTAAGTTCGCTTGCTTGCTTGCGTGCTTGCGTGCTTGCTTGCTTGCTTACGACCGTGCAAATCTTTAGGTCGTTTTTTAACTCACTTCCCGTGATCCAATCGAGCTGACATTTTCCACACAGACTCGTTGTGCATGACAATTAATTTTCGTGAAAATTTTTTCCTAAATTTTACACTGTTTAGGGAATTTTTTTTAAATATTTAATTACCAATTGCTTAATGCTGGCAGACAATCATCTGACCCATAGGTGGCAGCCATCTCAAGCCAGAGGACGAGAGGACTCTAGCCGCCACGCATATAAAGGATTTAGAGTGATAAACTTTGTTTTTACGGGTTTATTTTTTACAACCAAATTTTGCAATTAGATAGATCTGTGGTGTTCATAACCACGGTCCATCAACCCTCCGGACTCTAGAGTGGCCGATTTTAAAGGTGAGAGGGGGGGGCATACAAAATCGCAGGATTGGAATCAGAATCTTTATTTACACTGAAGGAATTCAACAAATTATGACGCTCTTTTTCACACATGTCCAGTAAGCCAGTGGGGAGCACCACACCGTCAATGCTAATCGAACTTTAAACAACAATTAAACACTGAAACACAATCGGCAACGATTGTATCTGCTTTTGTCCATTGTACATCCTCATCTAGCCCTCACACGCTGTGTATGAGCTAAAGTCAGTGATGCCCATTGCTAAATTGTACGAAATTACGTACCAACCTTTATTGACTTGACTGTAATATTTCGATTTAAAGCTTTCGTGACTGCAGAGATTCATCTTCTTGGTTTTTTCGGTAAAG